CACGCCAAATCCAACTCTCCCTGTAGCGACCAAAACTACCCACTCTGGCGATTCCCACGCACGGCTGCCCCTGTATAGAATTTACTGTCTAGAAAAAAAGCGCGTAATGCAGAGTCAATCGATACCCATTTAATCCTTCGTCATCGATTCTTCCGTATCGCGGATTCTGGGGATCAATATGTAGGCTTTATTTTCATGCACTTTTGAAGTAAGAACGCGGCAAAAAATGAGATGTTGATGAGGTTGAATCTCAAGTGGAAGGGGATCGTATTCGAGGCGCAGTCATGATAGAAAGGTGTCCCTATTGACCATTTCGCGGCCATCTTTTTCATCATCATGATGTGTCCTAATATAAATGCACAAAAAAACCAGGAGTTATTTGGTCGCACTGACTACTCGAACACCATAAACAGGTAAACAATCCAGTTCCCCCGCTCCACGCCCAGAGAATCAGTGGGAAACGGACGAAGTTCATTGATCACAGTGAACCAGGCTCACAGAATCACGAAACATGCGAAGGTTATCCCATTATTCACTGGAACCGATACATCAAGAGTGCTGGCTGATTGACCGCTCTCTTGTGCAGAGAAAAAAAGATCTTTGTAAAACGAAAATTCCTCTCTCACATTCTTCCTCGTGAGCGGAAGATAAATATCAGCCATGTGCCCGTTAATCTAACCAGCAAACTCTACGTCACCATTAACTATCGGATTTCTGGTACAATCTGCTCTGGTGTACAGTCATGATCTCAGCAAGCGATAGAGCTTGTGCGACGGGTCTCAAGATATCTGTCAACCGCGCAGCCTTCCTCCTTCCTTCTTTTTCTTCTTCCTTCTCTCATCCTGCTTCTTATTTTCCTTCCTCTGAATGCTCGAACAGAAGATGCGATGAGAAAACACCTCTGGACCCTCACAGCGAGAGAGCATCCGGTAGACAGATGTCTTGTAACCAAGACGGTTCTTGACGACGGCGTGGCCAGAGCAGATTTTCCACTAATCGTCACGGGCTCAGCATGACATCATTAGCAGAAAAAGGCCACCCTGGCAGCACTCCAATCCAAGCCGCCTCACACGTCCTATCTTTTTTCAGGGATCACTATTGCACATTCCAGGTGCAAACGAATGAGACATTAAAAAAGCCTGCTGTCCGACCACCTGCTCCTGGAGTTTAATCATGTGCGGCGTTCTACTTCATCGGGTCAAAAGGTACATAAACCGCCCGCCGTTTCCCACGCTCGAATTTTACGACAGGGGCGTCGGTGGCCCAGTCTTTTCACGTTTTCATTTGTGATGGGCAATGAGCCAAGCGTCGGCAGAGTTCAAGAAATATGAAGGGTGCTTATGAAAAAGTAAAGAACCAATGGGTAAAGGCGATCTGCATAGAAGAAAATTGTGCATAACGTAAATCGATCGCGCTAATAAAAACAAAACGAGGCCAAAGTACGTACCAAGCGAGTACCAAAAGACCATAGCACTACTCAGTTCACAAGGAATATCACAGGATCAAAAGAACTTACCAGAAGTAGGATAATGCTATGAAAAGAGAAGTAAAGAACTCCTGCTAAAGTAAAGAAAGCGAAGATGAAAGAAAATCGAAAGAAAGGATTAAGCTGAAAATACGATGTTGAAAATGACTGAAAGAACGCTATGAGCTGATATGGACAGCAAGCAGGAATGAGCTGATGGCCAACAAGTAGGAACTTCTAATTAGTTCAATCACTCAACTTTCCTTTTTGGACCAACTTTATCCACTGATTAAACTATTAGTTTAGCCCTACCCCCCCCCCCTCTTTTTTTCCCTACTTAATGGAAGTTCTTTGAACAATGTTTGCACTAGTCATTATTCTTATAATAAGCCATTGGGATTACCAAATCAAATCAAATAATTGACATTTCGTAATAAGAAGGACTGAAATAAGAACGTCATGTATACTCTTCAGGAGAAATTATCAGATTATCAGATCAGCAATAGGTAGGGCACGGCGCCACAACAAGTGATATCAAGGACGTTCAGAGAAATGAACACGTCAATCACTTTCTTACATCCAATACGACTAGGAATGCTTGCTTAGGTGCGCCTAGTGGTCAGAATTTAATGACCCAGAGCGCTTATCAGCAGTTCGATCGGGCACTGACTGAGTGGTTACACATTGGAGGAGCAGCTTCGCTTAATCACTGTCCAGTTTTTGATTAAGCTCTCATCAAAACAACTTCTTCGCGTGACTCTTGGGAAACAGGCCCCCGCGTTTGAACTCATCACACATTGAAAAAGCAATGAACTTAAATTAATTAGTCAAGAATAAGAAGGGGGATAACCGTTGTTAGAGTATAATCGGTGTTTAACGCCTCAGGTATGCTGAGTTATGGACAAAAGTTAGACTCTAAGCGAGACTCGCTCCCACATCTCCCGCTGACCGTGCTGACTCTTGGGCGGGCTTTAAATTCCAGGCGGACTCTCTGGGAGGGGAACCTACCCGGTTTATTCACTACCGTTTTTTAAACGATGTTCTGTTCTCCCGCTGATAAAGAAAAAAAGGAAAAACTGAAAACCCCACCAAACAGTTCAAAAATGAATCGTACTGAGAACGTGGCTTTGGTAGCGCCGAACCAGAACACTACGAGAACTCTTCACTAGAAAGTGCATGCAAACAATACTCTTACGCTGAATAAAAAGTAGCCGATACCATCTCTCCTATCCGTAGCACTTCATACCCACTTTTCATGGGGGAAATCAAAAGTGGGGGGTCAGCACAAATTGCGCGCATAATGTGAACGAGAGAGGAAGAAAATCCAGGACACTTCATGCAGTCATTATCGTAACAAACCAGAGAGCCTGCAAGGGGCGGGGGTGGATCGCAGTGCAGCCGCAGCGGCCTTCTTCACCATTTTAAGCCGTCCCGCAGCAATCGGTGGGAGAAGCTTCGGTGGCTGCACTCTATGCCACCCCCCCCACACGCCCTTCCTTTCGCAGGAATGAAAACAACAGATCACGGAAATAGAAGTTCTGGTGATACTAAATCAGAGCAGTAAACATGAAAGCAAAACAGCTGACGTGCAGGACCCAGAATGCAGTCAAGCGAGAACCGGCCTCATCGCTAAACTGCCATATAATCTGGACCGCTCGTTTCTCTGCTCGAACGGTGAAAGAGGGCGTTGCTCGGCTTGGAGAGGACATTTTCCACATCTGCTTATTTGTGTTAATCAACAAGTCAACTTAGGTGAAACCTGTGAACTCCTGTGAAGCTGCGAAATGGTATAAGTGAGCCGCTTCGGTTTCCGAGATTCACGGGTCTTCACGAAGTAGCCTGAACCAGCTTCGCCAAGCAGCATGTGCTGCACCCACCAAGCTGAACCGCGCTTGAATAGGTTACAATGCTGGGATGAGAGGGATAGAGAGAGAGTTAGAAGTTAAAGAGGAGAAAAAGGAAATCAAGGATTCAGATCAAACTCTTCCATGATTCAACTTGAAAAAATACCAAGCAATCTATGAAAAAAAAACTAAAATATAAACGTAGTCAGTGAGCGCATACGCAATCAATGTCGTATAATCCATTAAGATTAGATGGTTGTATCGATTTTATAAAGCAATCTCAAAAAAGAACAACGACAAACAAACAAAAGACAATTCAGTTGCTAATGAAAGGACCAAAAATTATGCTCAAACTGTACATTCGAAAAGTCGGAAAAAGACCATATATTTCAGAGGGTATGTGCCAAGACAATCGTAATTCATTAAGCTTCCAGGCGCCGCGCCCATTGCCGCGCCCGACGGAGCGACAAATTACGATTGTCTTGCCCTCCAATTTTGGGGACAAGCCTCTAATACAGCAATAAACACAAAAGACATTTCCCTATTCATTGAATTTTTGAACATTATTAAGACTACTTACAAATTTTACTCAGCAAGTGAGAAAGAAAATCAACAAGAACTGTACAAAAAATAAAATCTAGACGAGAACCTGGTAGAAGCTTCATATCTAACCAGGGAGAGATCACATTTCAACATAGTACACAACATTACAGTTTACGTCTACTCCAATCTTTTGGTTGCCATCGCAATTTGGACGGATCGATACGTACGGTAATCTTGTCGCACATCCTCCGATACGCGTTTTTCAACTCATCCGTTATAACGATTACATATTGTCCTCGGTAATATTTGTAAAGGTTTAGATGCTGAAAACATAACGGCAGTGTAATGACAGTGAGAGCCTCTGAATGAAAAAAAAACTATCCTGAAGACAGATCATTTGGCAGTACTGTCCACGAAAAACAGCACCATAAAACATCAACCGATTACTAAATTGCAAGAGAACTTCCTGCTCGGGTGCACCATCAGGGCATGCCTTAGCTTTGGAACCCCGCCTAGGAGAGTCGCATTGTTGCTGAAGGGGTATTGATTGCCTTTAAGAGAAATGTTTTCCACAATGACTTTTTCAAATTTTCTTGTTCGAAGTGCGCTCTCCCTGTGCGCTCTCTCGACTCTGCTCGAAGCGTTTTTTTCCTTTTGGAGGATGAGTGGAAAATTTTTTGAAAAAAAAACAACTCTGGAAAGGTGGTATAAAGTTAAGGGGCAAGGAAGTGGTCGTGCCAGAGAGGGGAAGTTTCTATGGAAGGTTCGCACTTCGCAAACATTTTCGCCAACGGTAGGACGTGCTCCGTACACCACAGCGGTTAGGAGCACCTCACCACAATACAAACCCTTCTAACCTTCCTGATAACAAATCTAGCGCGCACAACGTGACCTGTTTTTAATCTACAGATCTCTCCATTATTTCTAGGACTGCGTTCATACTTTTCGTCGACGTTTCGAGCCTTCTGAGCCTTAACCGATATCTACGCTTTCCTTGTCGCTCGAAACGCTGGCCTTTCATCCAGAACGTTACACCGATACCTGTACTGTCCTTCTTACTCAAAATGCTTGCAACGCTCAAAACGGCAGGGGAAAATATGAACGCAGCCTCACTAAAGTAATTTAACGAAGAGTAGCCAAGGCTGACCAACATTACAGTATATAATTTTTCCAGGTCAATGAAAAAAATTATTGAAGGTGGTGCCACTAAAATGATGCACCACGCAGTGCGCAATGCGCTGATAGCCCAAAAGCTATTGAGCAGATCACTCTCTAGTACGAAACACTACTCAACCCATTTCTTCTCCAAAAAAGAAGTAATCTTACTTGCAGAGTGGATATGACATCTTCTTTCCGAATAGACGTCATCTGCGAGAGATCCATCACAGAAATTGCACGTTCCTCTCCCGATGACATTTCCTCCTCTTTGAATCGCATAAGTTTTTCAATTATTGTAGCAGACCAGAAACTTCGGTATGAAAGCTAAAAAAGAACTTTTAGTATGTCCATACTTCGCGACTGGCTGCTTGATCGTCCAGAGCCGACGATCGGCAGCAACTGCGCGCGATGGGGCCAGTGATTGTATATACAGAGGGGAGAATTTATCGAACAGCAATTATGTTCCACGTGAGTAGTTCTAGAAGTTGATCTAAGACTCAGGAAATGAAACGAACCCGGCTATTTGAAAACAAAGATATCATGTACAGGAATAAGAGGTAGTAGGTCCACATGATTTTTTTTGTTCTGTGTTTTTATATTGGAGGCCATTGTAAGGTGATCGAAAAAGAGAAAAAAAACTCACCAAACCTAGATCCGATAAAGGTTTCTCCGGGGAACCCGTTTTGCCTTCCACCTTTGACAGTTCATAACTGAAAAATCTTGTGTACTGCTCCTTAGTCATAAATTATTTGTTAGAACACGTAGTTCCGCCGAAATGAATAGTTCATTCCGCGTTCCATGTAACTTATTGACTGATCTCAGCTTTGGTTGCGCCGAGCATTTCACTGCAACGCAGAGATGATAGGAAGTGTACTTTCTAAAACTTTTGCTTTTGCTTGTTCATACATGAAAATCAGTTCCTGGGGAACTAAGCGAAGTGCCAAAACTTTGCCGTTTGATCATCCTTCGCTGTTGACTAACCTCTGTGCGTACGACTGCCTCCCTACTTACCGGCTACATACAACCCCTCCCTTCCCTTCACTGTTATTTCCACAATAAGATTTGCTCTGTGTGGAAAAGCCACCTGCTAGCTTGTAGAAAAGCCACCTACTAGTTTCAAGGGTGAAAGTAACGCTCAAAAGAACGCTCAGAGCTATTCAATTCTCTGACCATGCGGAACTTTTGTACTCTTTTATTTGATATGTAAGATTTCCTAACGGGGAAAGTCTGAATTAGGGAAAGAAAGTACAAAGGATGAAAACAATGTTTTCTGCTCACCTGAACTCTATCAACAATCTTCCATATCCCATTTTCTGATATGGAGGCAAGACTAATATGCATGCAACGTTATATTCTTCAGCAGATTCCTTTTCCTTAAATGTGAAGTGCATGTCTTTACCAATCTTGGGTCTGTATATTCCGGGTTTCAAAGAAAAAAAAACTCTTCAAGATATTTATTTGGCAACGTTTCGGGCCTTAAGCCCTTCTTCAGGCCTACAATATATACAATATAATATCTACCGATTCACACTTAGGCATCACTTCTAGCTAAAGAACAAGAAACTATTGGCGATACGAAATATGCGACTAACCGAATAACAAGGCAAGTGGTTTTGGTCCAGGGAACGGGTTCTTCCGGGAACCACGTGAATCACTGCAAATACTATTGGATGGACACGGAAGGGGGAGGAAGGCATATGGCGAGGACTCCTATGTATCAGACGACATCACCCTTGCCCTCCCCACCACCGATCTAGCTGCTTCATTTCTGCAAGAGTGGACAGCTAGATAGGTGAGTCCTCGCCATATGCCTTCCCCCCTTCCGTGTCCATCCAATAGTATTTGCAGTGATTCACGTGGTTCCCGATAAGAACCCGTTCCGGACCAAAGCCACTTGCCTTGTTATTCGGTTAGTCGCATATTTCGTATCGCCAATAGTTTCTTGTTCACTTTAGCTAGAAGTGATGCCTAAGTGTGAATCGGTAGATATTATATTGTATATATTGTAGGCCTGAAGAAGGGCTTAAGGCCCGAAACGTTGCCAAATAAATATCTTGAAGAGTTTCATTCAACAAGAAAACACGGAAGCTACTAAACCATGAAACTCAGGAATCCTATGATACTATCAAAAAAAACAGAAATCTAGAGTGTTCATTCACCCACCTTCGAGAAAAACCCAACAATATGAAATCCTCGGTCATCCAAAAAGGCTAAAACGTAGAACAAGAAAGGATCCGTGTCATAATACAAAGTTTTATGATCGAGAAATAATTTGGCAAGCAAGCATAAATTCTGGGCGTACGTCTGAAATTTCACAACCATTTCAAAACAAAATAACAACAATAACGTAGTTCAGAATGATGTTATCTATTATTACGTATGCAAGTTGAGCATTGTGGCAAGTGGCAAATTCACCACGCGCGCGGCTCGTGGGAGAATCTCGAATCGGCTGCCGCCGAAGCCAACCAGCCTTTCCACCCTCAGGAGATGGTAGAATGGTACCAAGTTTGACTGGGAGGAGAGAAACATGGGAATGAGAGCGTGTTTTGCAAAAAAAAACTCTTATACCCCACCCCCCATTTTATTGCACTCATTGCCCCTTGTGTCTTTAGGCTATTTATAGCAAACCTACCTTATTCTTTCGACCGTCGATTTCGAAAAATGACAACTGCTCATTTCGATATATTTCATTTCCAGGAGGGTGTTTCAAATAGCACTTTTTCTGGAATTGAATCAATTTGACGAAATCAGCCGAGAATTTCACAGACCAGAGGTCTCACCATATGTGTTTTCAGACATGTCTGGCTCTTCACATACTTCAGGCAAAATTCACAAATGTAAATACAAGGCAAGTGGACGAGTTGTTGTGGGTAAGGGGCGAAGTACCACGGTTGTATCCGATGCCTGAATAAACAACAGTAATTTGAAAACTTTTCCCGAGCCCGAGGGTGTACCACAGACGCAGGGAGAACAATTTTTTTCCGTACGTTGCGAGCACATCCTGGTAGTGTAAATAAATAAATGAATAAAAAATAAATGAGTAAATAAAATATATTCCAAAGAAAATAAAACAACAACCATGATTAATTTAGTGAGTAATCAGGTTTTCAGTTTTTCTTTTTATGGTTAGATAAGCGAGTTATTCTGTGAAATTACTGCACTTTGCGCGCTCAAGGTAATGAGAAAATTTGAGATGAAAGATAATTTACTTGTGGGGTTTTAACAAACCTTCCCAATTCAATCATTTCGATATTACGAATCCTTGTCAACGCGTCTTCACTATGACCAACCATCGACATAGATCCTCGCAAACTTGGAGCTAAAAGCATGGTTCACGTGAAATAAAAAAATTTAATCATGCTATAAAGCACCACTCTTGAAGTTGAAAACAAACATTTTCTTGCTTTTGATCTGAACAAAAAAAACACACCTCCATTCTGTCCCATACCATCCTGGCTGTCTTCGTCCATTGTAGCTGCCTTTCGTTTTCGCATAGCAGCACTTTTCTTGCTCATTTCTCTTTCAGGTGATCCAGACGCTGAGGTACTGCAGAGAAGCTTGCAACGGTTGTTTTAGACAATCAAGAAAGCACCAAAACGATCAAGGAACACAGTGAAGTACCTTTCCACAGACTGCGCCACTCCTCCCTTCTTTCCTTTCTGGGGCATACGTAAGGACTCAATATTGAGATTTTCAGCTGGAACCCACTCATCCAGCCTTAAAAGTTATAAGAACTTTGCAGAAGAACACAAATTGATCTCAAAAAATAAAAAAGATTAGCTACCTCCTGTTGCAATCAATGTAATGAACATAGAAACGAGGCGGATCATTTCGCACGAGAAGCACTTCAGCGTCCCCTGAAAGGAATATTCAGGCAGGAGATCTGTTCATCAAGGAAGACGAACTAGCAAGGGGAACTAGCGAAAGCGCAAAATGCCCTTTCCAAGCCAAACAGCATCCAATATTGCAAACGCAAGTATTTCCGCAGCGCTTTTAAGTGGCTTAGCATCTGAATGTGTTCTCCTGTATAAGCAATTGAAATTGATAAGCAAAAAGGAACAAATTACAGAGAAACTCTCGCTGTCTGGAATAAGATGGAATAAGTTAAGATCCGCTAAGGTACAAATCAAGAAAGCAAACCTATGAAACCTAATGGCAACGCAACCAACTTTGAAATTCATTTCATGGCTTATAACCAGGGCACGCTATACGTTACGTACCCCCAATGCAGGGTGCTTCTGAATGTCGCTGAGGTCGGAGAGGGGATCGTATTCTGTTCCAACAAAATCTCTTCGGGGTGGTGTTTCTTCCCAAACCTCCCCACTGCTCGACGACTTTTTGGGGGAGCGAAGGCGGGGAGGGGTGCGGACTGGAAGAGACTATTTGGAAACGTGGGGATAGCTGCTGAGAGTACACAGACTGGCTGGGGTAAAATGAGATGAGGAAGGAAGAGCGAGAGGTTCTACCAGAGCAGAAAATTTTGAGAAGGGGACTTTCAGAAACCATACTTTCAGAAATTTTCCCTCACTTCGGGACGTGCCTTCAGTGTGGTCTTGGGCGAAACCGTTAAGCTCCGATAGACCGCTATTTGAGTATTTGGGATAAAATTTACCGAATGAACACATGCTGGGACAAAGTTACGAGTAAAAACGCACTGTATTCATTCTGTGTCGTCATCCTGACCATGAGCCGACATCCCTCCACAACTCGCTCGAGACCCGGAACTGCATTTTCCGATCCCAACGAGGTGTCATTCGTCAACACGACCATCCTTTAACGACTTTATGATTTTCTAAGGCAGCGTTTAGACTTCGGTCGAACGCATCGTCGCGTCGCGTGATCGCGGAGTCTGAACGCTGTCTAAAACCCCTTTCAAGAACGTTTTACTTGTCAATAGCTCGCAACGGTTCAACGTTGAAATATGTAAGTATATGGACTGACTGTTACAAATTTATTATGCCAACGCTACAAAAGATAAACACAACAACACTATCACTACCGGTAAAAGAGAAAATGCTTGCAGGGGAGAATCTATCAGGTATTGCATACACATACATAACTGAGAGAAGTGTTAGAAACACTGTGGAAATATGGGGGACTACGAGAGAGCGGCAACGACCTCGTACACAACTATGGATGAACTATAGAATGATCACGTCGAGAGTACGAGATCCACACGAAAAAAAAACAACAAAGAATGATAGGAGAACTGTAGAAACACGTCAGACTACATAAACCGGGAGCTGTTATCAACGGGAAAATAGAACGAGTAGCAGCAATATTTTGAATACGTCTGAGAGCGAGAAATACTATACATCAGAGAGCAAATTGAGGTAGAGAGTGCTCTAAAGATGAACAAAACGCCCTCATCGCCATATCGCCGACTTCTTTCTATGCATCGCCTTCTCCCACCTGCGCCTTTGCTGCGGGTGCTGCTAGATCTTCAATTACATCATCGAGCAGATGGCGGAATTTGTCTAGAGCAGATTGAGGAATAGTTATCGAGGTACGATAACCAGCCGGCTGCTTCACCTAAAAATTACAGTAACATCATGTGCCTTCCTTTCTCTGGAATGAATGTTCAGAATAGTCATCGCGAAACCACTAGCACAATCTTTTCGTTTAGATTGAAGTCCGCTCCCCCTCCCCCCCGTCACACTCCCTAGCTTTAAGTAGGCGTGGATTTGAACACGGCATATGATGGGATATTCGTTGGATATTTCATTGCGAAACAACTGTCATCCTATGCTGCATTGAAGTATCTCACGAAAAGCTTGGCCGCATTAACTCATGCACCAGCCACGCCTACCACATCTCACCAGGGAAGTCCGCCAGCTTACCATGGAACTTTGAGTGGAGACCTGAGGTGGATCGATAAAGTCTATAAGGTTATTTACAAATATACACTGCGTACGAAAAGTATAGTTCCACCCATAAATCTCGCAATATCCCGCCCTACACGACGTTTTCGAAAAAGCCTTCAGATAAAAAATGTGGTAATTACCAGTGCCAATTTGCATGCCAACACCGAGAACTGACTTTCCAGAGCGACTTCAATTTTCTTTATTTTTTGAAAATTTCTCACTTTGACAATGTCCCAAAATATAGTTCCACTAAACAAATCGATTCATAAAACAACAAGTGTACAACAAAATGAATGAATTGTAAGGCTATAATCTATTGCAGCCCCATTCCTTTGAATAAGTTGGAAAATGCGGTTGTCCATGCTCGAATAGAGGTTTTAAATCAGTTTTCGGTCGACATGCTGCCATGCATCAATTATTGACTTCTTGAGCTCACGGACTTGTGGAATTGTGCATTGTTCGCATAGATCTTGCGTACCATGAAGCCCCACACATTCTCGATTGGGTTTAAGTCAGGGCTATTCGCTGGCCAGGGCAAAAGAGCGATTTGATGACGACTGAACCACGCTCGAGTGTTTCGGCTGACATGAATGGTGCATTGTCTTGCATGAAAACAGGACTTTCTTGCTGATTTCTACGCCAGAAAGCAAGGAGACGTCGTCGCATGACTTTTAGATAGACGGAAGAAATCATTTTTTTTCATACGGAGCACAGTTTCAGACGTTCCATTGATGCGATGGCACCCCAGACCATGAGATCACATCCACTGAAGTTCCGCCCGGAAAAATGAAACTTGTCTTCCCTCAGGTCGTGCCAGCGGAATCGGTTTCGCCTGAGCGGTTGCAGTTGAATTTTTTCTCATCAGAAAACACGACCGCGAGAAAAAAAACTTAAAAAAGCAACACAGACAAGCAGCAGGGCACCGCAGCCAAAAGCTACCCTCACTCCAATCGGTTCGGCAACATCTTCGAGCGAAGCCAATTAAGTTTTCGCGATGGTTTTTGTTAGAAACAGTGCCTAACTCATATTCCTCCTGTAGGTGAACTCAGGAGTTTTTCAAAACACGCCGAACAGTCTCCTTCGAGACGTTAAGCCTCGAAGTTGACTTTATTTTCAGGCACGACGTTGTGCAGTTCGATGCTTCTCTCAAAGTACGGCGCTTTTCTCGATCAGAGAGCAAAGGAGGACGCCCAGAGCTCTTCTTGGATTCCATATCGTGCGGGTTCCCTGACAAAGTTATTGATAACGTGATGACTGCGGCCCAACTCCCTTACGATTTGACGGTTCGACAGTCCTTGAGCCTTCTTTACGATAATCCCTTTTCCGAAGTCTGACAAAGAATGTCCTGTCACCATAACCCGGAAAAGGTGAAAAGTAATGATGATGAGACAGTTTTACCCGAAAAAATGAGACGTAGTGGGAAAATATGCGGTGGAACTATACTTTTGGGACATTGTCAAAGTGAGAAATTTTCAAAAAATGAAGAAAATTGAAGTTGCTCTGGAAAGTTAGTTCTCGATGTTGGCATGCAAACTGGCACTGGTAATTACCACATTTTCTATCTAGAGGCTTTTTTGAAAACGTCGTGTAGGGCGGGATATTGTGAGATTTATGGGTGGAACTATACTTTTGGTACGCAGTGTAGATAGCAAAACTGCAAGCCTGCATTTCACAAGCAACTTATGAGCAGGTAAAGTTTGTAATGGTGCAGTAGGGTGGAGGCTTGGTGGTGAGCTGTGAAGCATAAGCGAGGAATCGCATACGTCGAATCGAGTCGTGGTGGTTCAGTGGTAAAGTTCGACGTTCGACGACTCGATTCGACGTATGCGATTCCTCGCTTATGCTTCACAGCTCACCACCAAGCCTCCACCCTACTGCACCATTACAAACTTTACCTGCTCATAAGTTGCTTGTGAAATGCAGGTTGCAGTTTTGCTATCTATATTTGTAAATAACCTTATAGACTCTATCGATCTACCCAGGTCTCCATTCAAAGTTCCATGGTAATTTGGCGGACTTCCCTGGTCAGGGATTTCGAGCGTATACATGAAGAGCTCCCCGTTGCGATGCAATAAGAAGGAAATAGTGCTCGCCGTCGATTAATTCATGTTAAGGATACGGCACACATTCCACCTCCATTCAGGATCTTAGCAGATTAGTGAATGCTTGGCCTATACAATCATTTGCGAGCGCCAGCCGATATGTAAGGCATGGGTGTCCCCCGGAGGTAGAAGGATTGGTCGGCCTACCAGAGACCGAAGTCAGCTTTGATCCCAGAATTTCCAAGCGCGTGGAAAGCCCGCCAACTGCAACTAATTCACTTCCGCTAAGGCCACATATACAATATGAGGACCACTAAGAAACTGGAGGGGTTACGCGATCATGACTAGTGAACGTCACCCTCACTCATGGGTGTTGAGTTAAGCACTTCCAAGTAGACCTGCGCAACATGGCACTAGACTTCGTAGAGTAACCACTTACCTCAGTCACGCGGACAAATGTTCCCGCGGTCATTCTTTCCAATGTCAAAGTAAAACGTTTTGTTGTTGTCTGCAGTCAGCTGCTTGGTTTTTGTTGCATCCTTAAATCCTTGTAATTTAGTCTGCTTCTTTTATAGATCATAAAGCTATAAGAAAAATATTCTCGGGACTAACAGTGCTATTTCCGTCATTTAGGAATCCCTCCGAGTACTTCTCCAGCATCTCGTGAAGAGTGTCACGCATCTCTATCATTCCCTGCGCTGGAATAGCGATCTGGAACAAAATCAGCAGTGAGAATTCCTTGATACATCCCTCGAAAACAAGTTTACCTGCGCGCGGCTCATACGCGGATTGGCCACGGTCTGTGCAATGCGAAGGAAGCGCCCGCGTTGGTTCTCTTTCAGGTCCAGATAGTAACGCCTTGAGTCGAAAGCCAACACTTCCGATTTGAGAGCACCGTTCTGAATTTCAGCTAGACGGCACCAAATGCCACTAAAATGATTTCAGCAACATACCTCAGCAGTAGCTTCGGCACCTTCTGGCAGTGTCTCACTAAATTTGATCATTTCACCCAATTGTTCACACAGCTGCACTGCCGCCGACATAGTCAATACGAGACGCGACTTGTAGTTCGATCCCATCTGAAACCGAAACAAAGCAGTAACTTGTGATCGGTTTTTGTAATTTCTATGACTTCTAGGGCCCGAGTCAATATCTGAATAAAGTTGTTCGCCCTCGTAATGACTGCGCTGTTTGTACAGCCTGCTTTTACCCTTGTCCTAGCTAGTCGGCGCACGAATAGTCAGAGACAGTCCCGCGATCAAGGGATCCCCGAAATGCCTTCGTACATTGGCAATCAGTTCCTCACTCGCAGAGAATGTACCACTTCCGTCACGGCTAGATAAAAAAGCTACAGGCGCATGACTATTGCAACCTCTATTATTTTCACTCTACAAGACAACGGCATACATGCGGAATTCCGTGTGCGTGCATTTTGTTTCCTGGAGTGTCGTAAGGCGATTTCACATACTCGTCGGAGGAAATCCTAGCTTGTCCACTCATCTGCGAATTCACGAGTTGTTCGAGGGAGATCCCAGTTTGAGGCGTTCCCAAGCTTTTTTGCTTCCTTCTCTACTGGGAATCACTTACCGGTTACTGGTTGAAAGTGAACACATATTATCCGCAATACTTGATCGCGGGAGGTGTACTCAAGAGAAAGAAAACAGAAGCTTATTTCCGTTACTGCGCTATATAAAACTGGGCTTCAGTTAACATCACCCTTTTAAATGTTTGAAAACAGTTTCTGCGAGGAAATAAAGGGAAATTATGAGTTTAGCAACATCTACCCGTGGGAGCGTTAATCTCATTGGATTATGCACCCCCCCCCCTCCGTTACAAAGGGAACATTTGAAAAGCACTCGCTAAAGTTTCGCCACATTACCAGTCCTTTACCAAAGCATTCCGCAAGAAGAAACCCAATGTGTCCACTGTTATCAGTGTCAATAAAACAAGCGCATTCCCGAATGTTGTTACATTACTCTGATCAATTATCAGTGCCTGTTAACGAAAATAGATAATGTCTGTGGAACCGGGTTTTATTGAACGAATGAGCTGTCGAAGCCCATTAATATTATAAGAGCGCCTGGAATCGAGCGAATTACATTTTTATTGTTCGGGGGATAACTTATGAACAAGACGATTCAGCAACTGCAATTGTCAGCAGTCGAGGGCATTTTGGAGCTGGTTCTGGAAGGGACATTCAACACTTTGTGGACCGCCGTTCTGCGAAGATCCTCACATCATTTCTCACTTTTTATATCTTTAGTTACTAATTTGATTTCTCTTTTTCTGTTTTAGTATGATGTATGTACGTTCCCTTCCAAAAAGCGTTTGATACTTTAGGTCGTGGAAAAGATGCCAAAGAGACATGAATGATTATGGAGAGAAAAAAGCATGACACACCATGTGTGTCACGTGGTCCGGAACGAGTTGATCGCAAATGACTTGAATTGCCACAATAGAGACAGATATTTGCCCCCAAGGGTGCAAGAAGCTTAGAGGTGGAAGAACTAATGTACCGTACGGTAGCTATGTCAGATGACGCTAAGCCCAGTTGCACACAAGAATTCTTCAGATGTCCCTTAAAGGTTACTATGGCCCAAACATGTCCCTTCATATGAGCGGTCAAAAGGTCTGACTCTTTCCTTCGTATCAACGGGCTTGCCAGGTGGGGCAATCAGTCGAGGGAGGCCACTAGACATCTCTCGTCCACACGACACGTCTTGAAAGCTTAGGTTAAGGACAGCGCAGATGACGAAAGTCTCGCGCGGTACAGTTTCATAAAAAAGACGCGGTCGTCGCTTGACCACATTAGCACCATAGGTCGATTTAAGGCTTGGGATTTGGCTAGATCTTCATAACTGCAGCACTGCTCTGTAAACACTTTTATTTCCTCTCTTTGCTCTGGACTGAGTCTCTGCCACTGCATTCTGGGAGAATCAGCGTTTTGAGCGTTCAGTACCTATCATACACATCGATGTCTATACCTTTCTAGCTCAATACGCTCACATTTCTCTCAAAATGTTAGATCTATTTGAATACTCTTCCTTCCGCCCAGAGCGCATTTCCTCCCAAAACGCTTAAAATGCCGACGCCGAGTATGAACACAGCCTGACAAGGTGATCCAGCCGAAGCGTTATTGTAAGCTAGCTAGCTAAGGATTTCAGGGTAAATGGAGCGATTCATCTATTTCGAGATGTCTTCATCCTAAGCTCACCTCCCTGATTAACAATCACTTCTTCACCTGATCGGGCCAACCCTTGCCGTTTCCGTCACACGGGGCGTTGAGGCTCCCCCAGCGAGATGGGGGGAGGCGTCACTGGGTAACCACCTGCTGGAGAGGGGTCGTATTTGCCTTCGAGGCGAGTGTTCTCAGGTGTTGATTTTTCTCGTTTCAACCCTCTTTCCCAAGCTCGATGGAAGTTTCTGAAGAAAAAGCGAGAAAGGAAACAAACTGGTAAACACTGAAGGACTTGGAAGAAATTCGACATGTAGAATAAGCTTAAGATGGAGAATGGGAAAGAGGGGTCCTACAAGAGGAGGAATTTTGAGAGTGGGTTGTATTCTGCAAGAATTCTCTCCATTGACAGGACAAACCCTGTATCGTCCATTACAAAAAAGTGCCGAGGAAGGTATGAAAACTGAACTGGTGAGTAAGAGACCCCTTGTGCAAATTTAGGATAGCGGTAACCCGACGAACTATTGCACAAAATGCCGCACCTACATATACCAAAAATCATTTTAATGTCCCAGTGCCGAATAGTGGTTGTATAACGCTCATCTTGGAGGGCGGTAATACAAAGCGGCAGCGTTTTGAGCGAGTAGGAAAGTATGGGTATCGATTGTTACTGAAAACGCTCAAACGCTAGATCGACACCTATATTTTCCTGGACGCTCGAAAACGCCGACACAACGTATGAACGCTACGAATAGGCGCTCACGCATTTTCAAAGGCCAAACAAGCTCTTAACTAGAACTCACTTCGGCAATCTTGATGAAACGCCCGCGATTATTCTGCTTCACATCCACATAGTATCTCTTGTATTGAATGTTAAGTTGCTTGCTTGCGAGCTCTTCCTCGTTACGCCTGCTTCCAGCACGTTCAACACTTCCGTCCGACATCGCTTCTATTCTTCTTCTTCTTCACGCACGCACACACTTCAATTACCCCTCCGACCACTTTCTTCAGCGATGATGGTAAACCAGCAAGCCCAAGATGAGCTGTTTTCTTCAAATCCTGAAAAATTGCAGCTTAAAAGGCAGGTCAATAACTTTCGAAAAGATAAAACTTCACCCAGGTTGCAATACACTGAGAAAAAAAGGAAACATGACAAAAGCCAAATTTGGTCCTGGCCAAAAAGAAGCGCGCGATTGCCCGACAATCTACTTCAAATGGAAGAAAGCCTATCCATTCATCAAAAATTAGATATCAAAGAGGAAAAACTAGCGTTTTCTAACAGAGAACCGCACACAAGAACACAAACAAACTACCCGTCGCAACCGAAGCGAGAGAATAAAACGAACTTTTTTAGGGCAACCGCACGTCAACCGCCGCGCGGGTCTGATTGTGACAAGTGCGATTGGAGCACGAAAATAAACCATTTCAGTCGAGCACAACCTCAAACCGGTTCAACGACCCTTTTTGCCGAAGAATCGCTCGGAAACGATATCAGTTGTCGATTGCAGCACCTGCTATCACAGATAAGGGCGCGATGGCGTAGCGGGCAGGGAGCCAACTCGCGTTCGTACAACTTGCGGTTGGATTTTCACCTGCCGACAGTCGACAATTTCAGCCACGCTTACCGTGCAACGGTTGCCAAAACGAAATCTGTAAAAAAACAATTGTATAGCGGAGCTCTCACAGGGCGGTCGACTGTTGCGTGGGGTGGGGAACATCATCATCATTGCCTCTGCGCTCGAACACGCGCCGCCGCACTATCTACCCACTCTTCCGTCTGGACTCTCGCCGATCGATAATTGCTGACGCTCCCAGTCAGCTGATTTCTGCGGTATTTTTCGCTGTATTTCTGTTGTATTCAGTTGTTTCTGTTATAGTGCTACTATTATTTGTAGCAGCTGAAAATATTCTTTTTTCGACTTCTATTTGGAAACGTATGTTTGCTAAAACCCGATTTGCATGGTTTTAACATGAATAAGATAAAACACAACAACACTATCACTACCGGTAAAAGAGAAAATGCTTGCAGGGGAGAATCTATCAGGTATTGCATACACATACATAACTGAGAGAAGTGTTAGAAACACTGTGGAAATATGGGGGACTACGAGAGAGCGGCAACGACCTCGTACACAACTATGGATGAACTATAGAATGATCACGTCGAGAGTACGAGATCCACACGAAAAAAAAAACAAAGAATGATAGGAGAACTGTAGAAACACGTCAGACTACATAAACCGGGAGCTGTTATCAACGGGAAAATAGAACGAGTAGCAGCAATATTTTGAATACGTCTGAGAGCGAGAAATACTATACATCAGAGAGCAAATTGAGGTAGAGAGTGCTCTAAAGATGAACAAAACGCCCTCATCGCCATATCGCCGATCTTCTTTCTATGCATCGCCTTCTCCCACCTGCGCCTTTGCTGCGGGTGCTGCTAGATCTTCAATTACATCATCGAGCAGATGGCGGAATTTGTCTAGAGCAGATTGAGGAATAGTTATCGAGGTACGATAACCAGCCGGCTGCTTCACCTAAAAATTACAATAACATCATGTGCCTTCCTTTCTCTGGAATGAATGTTCAGAGATTAGTCATTCGCGAAATCCACATAGCACAATCTTTTAAGTTTTAGCATTGAAGGTCCTGCTCCCCCGCTCCCCAGTCACACTCCCTAGCTTTAAGTAGGCGTGGATTTGAACACGGTATATGATGGGATATTCGTTGGATATTTCATTGCGAAACAACTGTCATCCTATGCTGCATTGAAGTATCTCACGAAAAGCTTGGCCGCATTAACTCATGCACCAGCCACGCCTACCACATCTCACCAGGGAAGTCCGCCAGCTTACCATGGAACTTTGAGTGGAGACCTGAGTGGATCGATAAAGTCTATAACGTTATTTACAAATATACACTGCGTACGAAAAGTATAGTTCCACCCATCAATCTCGCAATATCCCTCCCTACACGACGTTTTTGAAAAAGCCTTCAGATAAAAAATGTAGTAGTTACCAGTGCCAATTTGCATGCCAACACCGAGAACTGACTTTCCAGAGCGACTCAATTTTCTTTTATTTTATTTTTTGAAAATTTCTCACTTTGACAATGTCCCAAAATATAGTTCCACTAAACAAATCGATTCATAAAAACAACAAGTGTACAACAAAATGAATGAATTGCTAAGGCTATAATCTGCAGCCCCATTCCTTTAATAAGTTGGAAAATGCGGTTGTCCACGCTCGAATAGAGGTTTTAAAACAGTTTTCGGTCGACATGCTGCCATGCATCAATTATTGACTTCTTGAGCTCACGGAACTTGTGGAATTGTGTATTGTTCTCATAGATCTTGCGTACCATACCATGAAGCCCCACACATTTGCGAATGGGTTCAAGTCAGGGCTATTTGCTAGCCAGGGCAAAAGAGCGATTTGATGAAGACTGAACCACGCTCGAGTGTTTCGGCTGACATGAATTGGTGCATTTTCTTGCATGAAAACAGGACTTTCTTGCTGATTTCTACACCAGAAAGGAAGGAGACGTCGTCGCATGACTTTTAGATAGATGGAAGAATCGATTTTTTTTCATACGGAGGACAGTTTCAGACTTTCCATTGATGCGATGGTACCCCAGACTGAGATCACATCCACTGAAGTACCACCCGAAAAAATGGAACTTGTCTTCCCTCAGGTCGTGCCAGCGGAATCGGTTTCGCCTGAGCGGTTGCAGTTGAATTTTTTCTCCAGAGAACACGACCGCGAGAAAAAAAAAACTTAAAAAAGCAACACACGCAAGCAGCATGGCAAAGCAGCCAAAGGCTACCCTCGCTTCAATCGGTTCGGCAACATCTTCGAGCGAAGCCAATCAAGTTTTCGCGATGGTTTTTGTTTAAAAACAGTGCCTAACTCATATTCCTCCTGTAGGTGAACTCAGGAGTTTTTCAAAACACGCCGAACAGTCTCCTTCGAGACGTTAAGCCTCGAAGTTGACTTTATTTTCAGGCACGACGTTGTGCAGTTCGATGCTTCTCTCAAAGTACGGCGCTTTTCTCGATCAGAGAGCAAAGGAGGACGCACAGAGCTCTTCTTGTTCTTCTTCTTGACTCCATATCGTGCGGGTTCCCTGACAAAGTTATTGATAACGTGGTGACTGTGGCCCAACTCCCTTGCGATTTGACGGTTCCACAGTCCTCGAGCCTTCTTTACGATAATCCCTTTCCCGAAGTCTGACAAAGGATGCCCTGTCACCATAACCCGGAATAGATGAAAAGTAATGACAATGAGACAGTTTTACCCGAAAAAATGGGGCGTAGTGGAAAAATATGCGGTGGAACTACATTTTGGGACATTGTCAAAGTGAGAAATTTTCAAAAAAAGGAAGGAAATTGAAGTTACTGAGGAAAGTTAGCTCTCGATGTTGGCATGCAAACTGGCACTGGTAATTACCACATTTCCTATCTAGAGGCTTTTTTTGGAAACGTCGTGTAGGGCGGGATATTGTGAAATGTATGGGTGGAACTATACTTTTGGTACGCAGTGTAGATAGCAAAACTGCAACCTGCATTTCACAAGCAACTTATGAGCAGGTAAAGTTTGTAATGGTGCAGTAGGGTGGAGGCTTGGTGGTGAGCTGTGAAGCATAAGCGAGGAATCGCATACGTCGAATCGAGTCGTGGTGGTTCAGTGGTAAAGTTCGACGTTTGACGACTCGATTCGACGTATGCGATTCCTCGCTTATTCTTCACAGCTCACCGCCAAGCCTCCACCTTACTGCACCATTACAAACTTTACCTGCTCATAAGTTGCTTGTGAAATGCAGGTTGCAGTTTTGCTATCTATATTTGTAAATAACCTTAAATAAGAACTCTCATCGCATCTACCCAGGTCTCCATTCAAAGTTCCACGGCAATTTGGCGGACTTCCCTGGTCAGGGATTTCGAGCGTATACATGAAGAGCTCCCCGTTGCGATGCAATAAGAAGGATAAAGTGCTCGCCGTCGATTAATTCATGTTTGAGATACGGCACCATTCCCACTCCATTCAGGATCTTAGCAGATTAGTGAATGCTTGGCCTATACAATCATTTGCGAGCGCCAGCCGATATGTAAGGCATGGGTGTCCCCCGGAGGTAGAAGGATTGGTCGGCCTACCAGAGACCGAAGTCAGCTTTGATCCCAGAATTTCCAAGCGCGTGGAAAGCCCGCCAACTGCAACTAATTCACTTCCGCTAAGGCCACATATACAATATGAGGACCACTAAGAAACTGGAGGGGTTACGCGATCATGACTAGTGAACGTCACCCTCACTCATGGGTGTTGAGTTAAGCACTTCCAAGAAGACCTGCGCAACATGGCACTAGACTTCGTAGAGTAACCACTTACCTCAGTCACGCGGACAAATGTTCCCGCGGTCATTCTTTCCAATGTCAAAGTAAAACGTTTTGTTGTTGTCTGCAGTCAGCTGCTTGGTTTTTGGTGGCCATCCTTAAATCCTTGTAATTTAGTCTGCTTCTTTTATAGATCATAAAACTATAAGAAAAATATTCTCGGGACTAACAGTGCTATTTCCGTCATTTAGGAATCCCTCCGAGTACTTCTCCAGCATCTCGTGAAGAGTGTCACGCATCTCTATCATTCCCTGCGCTGGAATAGCGATCTGGAACAAAATCAGCAGTGAGAATTCCTTGATACATCCCTCGAAAACAAGTTTACCTGCGCGCGGCTCATACGCGGATTGGCCACGGTCTGTGCAATGCGAAGGAAGCGCCCGCGTTGGTTCTCTTTCAGGTCCAGATAGTAACGCCTTGAGTCGAAAGCCAACACTTCCGATTTGAGAGCACCGTTCTGAATTTCAGCTAGACGGCACCAAATGTCCACTAAAATGATTTCAGCAACATACCTCAGCAGTAGCTTCGGCACCTTCTGGCAGTGTCTCACTAAATTTGATCATTTCACCCAATTGTTCACACAGCTGCACTGCCGCCGACATAGTCAATACGAGACGCGACTTGTAGTTCGATCCCATCTGAAACCGAAACAAAGCAGTAACTTGTGATCGGTTTTTGTAATTTCTATGACTTCTAGGGCCCGAGTCAATATCTGAATAAAGTTGTTCGCCCTCGTAATGACTGCGCTGTTTGTACAGCCTGCTTTTACCCTTGTCCTAGCTAGTCGGCGCACGAATAGTCAGAGACAGTCCCGCGATCAAGGGATCCCCGAAATGCCTTCGTACATTGGCAATCAGTTCCTCACTCGCAGAGAATGTACCACTTCCGTCACGGCTAGATAAAAAAGCTACAGGCGCATGACTATTGCAACCTCTATTATTTTCACTCTACAAGACAACGGCATACATGCGGAATTCCGTGTGCGTGCATTTTGTTTCCTGGAGTGTCGTAAGGCGATTTCACATACTCGTCGGAGGAAATCCTAGCTTGTCCACTCATCTGCGAATTCACGAGTTGTTCGAGGGAGATCCCAGTTTGAGGCGTTCCCAAGCTTTTTTGCTTCCTTCTCTTACTCGGCGAATCATCTTTACCGCGTTTACTGGTTGAAACAGTGAACACATATTATCCGCAATACTTGATCGCGGGAGGTGTACTCAAGAGAAAGAAAACAGAAGCTTATTTCCGTTACTGCGCTATATAAAACTGGGCTTCAGTTACCATCACCCTTTTATGCTTTGAAACAGTTTTCTGCGAGGCAAAAGGGAAATTATGAGTTTAGTCAACATCTACCCGTGGGAGCGTTAATCTCATTGGATTATGCACCCCCCCCCCCTCTCCGTTACACGGGAACATTTGAAAAGCACTCGCTAAAGTTTCGCCACATTACCAGTCCTTTACCAAAGCATTCCGCAAGAAGAAACCCAATGTGTCCACTGTTATCAGTGTCAATAAAACAAGCGCATTCCCGAATGTTGTTACATTACTCTGATCAATTATCAGTGCCTGTTAACGAAAATAGATAATGTCTGTGGAACCGGGTTTTATTGAACGAATGAGCTGTCGAAGCCCATTAATATTATAAGAGCGCCTGGAATCGAGCGAATTACATTTTTATTGTTCGGGGGATAACTTATGAACAAGACGATTCAGCAACTGCAATTGTCAGCAGTCGAGGGCATTTTGGAGCTGGTTCTGGAAGGGACATTCAACACTTTGTGGACCGCCGTTCTGCGAAGATCCTCACATCATTTCTCACTTTTTATATCTTTAGTTACTATTGATTTCTCTTTTTCTGTTTTACTATGATGTATGTACGTTCCCTTCCAAAAAGCGTTTGATACTTTAGGTCGTGGAAAAGATGCCAAAGAGACATGAATGATTATGGAGAGAAAAAAGCATGACACACCATGTGTGTCACGTGGTCCGGAACGAGTTGATCGCAAATGACTTGAATTGCCACAATAGAGACAGATATTTGCCCCCAAGGGTGCAAGAAGCTTAGAGGTGGAAGAACTAATGTACCGTACGGTAGCTATGTCAGATGACGCTAAGCCCAGTTGCACACAAGAATTCTTCAGATGTCCCTTAAAGGTTACTATGGCCCAAACATGTCCCTTCATATGAGCGTTCAAAAGGTCTGACTCTTTCCTTCGTATCAACGGGCTTGCCAGGTGGGGCAATCAGTCGAGGGAGGCCACTAGACATCTCTCGTCCACACGACACGTCTTGAAAGCTTAGGTTAAGGACAGCGCAGATGACGAAAGTCTCGCGCGGTACAGTTTCATAAAAAAAAGACGCGGTCGTCGCTTGACCACTTTAGCACCATAGGTCGATTTAAGGCTTGGGATTTGGCTAGATCTTCATAACTGCAGCACTGCTCTGTAAACACTTTTATTTCCTCTCTTTGCTCTGGACTGAGTCTCTGCCACTGCATTCTGGGAGAATCAGCGTTTTGAGCGTTCAGTACCTATCATAGACATCGATGTCTATACCTTTCTAGCTCAATACGCTCACATTTCTCTCAAAATGTTAGATCTATTTGAATACTCTTCCTTCCGCCCAGAGCGCATTTCCTCCCAAAACGCTTAAAATGCCGACGCCGAGTATGAACACAGCCTGACAAGGTGATCCAGCCGAAGCGTTATTGTAAGCTAGCTAGCTAAGGATTTCAGGGTAAATGGAGCGATTCATCTATTTCGAAATGTCTTCATCCTAAGCTCAGCTCCCTGATTAACAATCACTTCTTCACCTGATCGGGCCAACCCTTGCCGTTTCCGTCACACGGGGCGTTGAGGCTCCCCCAGCGAGATGGGGGGAGGCGTCACTGGGTAACCACCTGCTGGAGAGGGGTCGTATTTGCCTTCGAGGCGAGTGTTCTCAGGTGTTGATTTTTCTCGTTTCAACCCTCTTTCCCAAGCTCGATGGAAGTTTCTGAAGAAAAAGCGAGAAAGGAAACAAACTGGTAAACACTGAAGACTTGGAAGAAATTCGACATGTAGAATAAGCTTAAGATGGAGAATGGGAAAGAGGGGTCCTACAAGAGGAGGAATTTTGAGAGTGGGTTGTATTCTGCAAGAATTCTCTCCATTGACAGGACAAACCCTGTATCGTCCATTACAAAAAAGTGCCGAGGAAGGTATGAAAACTGAACTGGTGAGTAAGAGACCCCTTGTGCAAATTTAGGATAGCGGTAACCCGACGAACTATTGCACAAAATGCCGCACCTACATATACCAAAAATCATTTTAATGTCCCAGTGCCGAATAGTGGTTGTATAACGCTCATCTTGGAGGGCGGTAATACAAAGCGGCAGCGTTTTGAGCGAGTAGGAAAGTATGGGTATCGATTGTTACTGAAAACGCTCAAACGCTAGATCGACACCTATATTTTCCTGGACGCTCGAAAACGCCGACACAACGTATGAACGCTACGAATAGGCGCTCACGCATTTTCAAAGGCCAAACAAGCTCTTAACTAGAACTCACTTCGGCAATCTTGATGAAACGCCCGCGATTATTCTGCTTCACATCCACATAGTATCTCTTGTATTGAATGTTAAGTTGCTTGCTTGCGAGCTCTTCCTCGTTACGCCTGCTTCCAGCACGTTCAACACTTCCGTCCGACATCGCTTCTATTCTTCTTCTTCTTCACGCACGCACACACTTCAATTACCCCTCCGACCACTTTCTTCAGCGATGATGGTAAACCAGCAAGCCCAAGATGAGCTGTTTTCTTCAAATCCTGAAAAATTGCAGCTTAAAAGGCAGGTCAATAACTTTCGAAAAGATATAAACTTCATCCCAGGTTGCAATACACTGAGAAAAAAGGAAACATGACAAAAGCCAAATTTGGTCCTGGCCAAAAAGAAGCGCGCGATTGCCCGACAATCTACTTCAAATGGAAGAAAGCCTATCCATTCATCAAAAATTAGATATCAAAGAGGAAAAACTAGCGTTTTCTAACAGAGAACCGCACACAAGAACACAAACAAACTACCCGTCGCAACCGAAGCGAGAGAATAAAACGAACTTTTTTAGGGCAACCGCACGTCAACCGCCGCGCGGGTCTGATTGTGACAAGTGCGATTGGAGCACGAAAATAAACCATTTCAGTCGAGCACAACCTCAAACCGGTTCAACGACCCTTTTTGCCGAAGAATCGCTCGGAAACGATATCAGTTGTCGATTGCAACACCTGCTATCACAGATAAGGGCGCGATGGCGTAGCGGGCAGGGAGCCAACTCGCGTTCGTACAACTTGCGGTTGGATTTTCACCTGCCGACAGTCGACAATTTCAGCCACGCTTACCGTGCAACGGTTGCCAAAACGAAATCTGTAAAAAAACAATTGTATAGCGGAGCTCTCACAGGGCGGTCGACTGTTGCGTGGGGTGGGGAACATCATCATCATTGCCTCTGCGCTCGAACACGCGCCGCCGCACTCTCTGCCCACTCTTCCGCCTGGACTCTCGCCGATCGATAATTGCTGACGCTCCCAGTCAGCTGATTTCTGTGGTATTTTTCGCTGTATTTCTGTTGTATTCAGTTGTTTCTGTTATAGTGCTACTATTATTTGTAGCAGCTGAAAATATTCTTTTTTCGACTTCTATTTGGAAACGTAGTTTGCTAAAACCCGATTTGCATGGTTTTAACATGAATTTCTCTTGGAGAATTGCTTTCTTCTTCCTATTTTCGCTATTTTTTGAACTTCTCTTGAAATGCCTTCGTTTAACTTCGATGTTATTGACTCAAATCGGTTACGTGACATCTTGAACTTTTGTGCATGGTCCTGTTACGAAACCCTGTGACGCAGACGGATAGAGGGCAGCGGCTGCCAAAGCATCGAAACGTGCAAAAAGGGCAGGGGACTCCGGAGTGGGTGATCTACCCATAGTCGGTGAAAAGCTGGAGTGAGCGAAGTCACAACGGCTATAGAACGTCATGCGGACGAGAGAGTGCAGAGTAAAAGAGAAAATCGCCGCGTTTGAAGGGATTAAGTTCATGTTGTTCGTAGACCACTCAAATCATGCAAAATGAAATCTGGCTCCAGTTGAACATACTTACCTTTCCTTATCAAAGTCGGACGACGAATAATTTCAGCTTTTAGAAGCCAAAAATAACAGAAATTGGTTCAATACGCGTACCAGCCATCGATGGCGACGGCGTCGGACCACTTGTCAAGAGGACGTAGGATCGCTCCACCGTCGGATGAGAACGTCACTGTAGGTTACAGGGCTTTTGAAGAAACGAACTAGACAGTCGTAATTTGCCGCGTCGCCGCACGCGGCGTGTCGTGCAGCCATGTGTGGCAAAAGCTCAATGTGCACAAGTTTGTCGATCGGTAGCGCGACCGCTCAGGCAGAACACTCATCTGCCTGCGCGGTTACGTGACGTCTCGGATTTTGTGCACGCTCCTATTGCGAAACCAAAAAACGCAGACAGATAGAGGGCAGCGCCTGCCAAAGCTGGAGACGTGAAAGAAACTATTTCGAGCCAGGAAACGAACTTTTTCAAGGGGGAAGGGACTCCGGGGTGGGTGAGCCACGTATCATACGTGAAAAGCTGGAACGTGCGAGGTC